AAAAGTATAATTAATTTATTTTTGTCAATTATTATATATATTAATATATATTACCTTTATATATATTATTTAAGCCTAATTAATAAGTATATTATCACTATACATCGTTATTTTGGATTTAAATTTATTATTTATATGATTATAGGGAATAACGAATAACGAATAATAAATAACGAATAACTAAATAATGAATAAAATATAGTAAATAAAAATATCCGAATAATGAATAATGAATAATAATACAAATTAAAATAATGAATAAAATTAAAAATCAATAATAAAATTAAGAATAAATCGATGAAAAATAATTTTTTATTCAAATAATCAATCAAATAATATTTTATTCGACTAATGTCCAACTCTGGTTGAGTTGATAAAGGAATAGTTGGGTCCATAAATTTAAACTTCAAAACTTTAGAAGGTGCTTTTAAAAAAAATGTTCTTTACACTTGAAATGTGTAATATATAAAAATCTATATATTATACTCATATACTGAATAAATATACAATAAAATAGATATAATGACCGAAAATTATTAAAAAAATGCTCTTAAAATATGTAAACATTGAAAAATGCAAAATAAAAGTTTCAGTTTTGAAGTTTCTGTTACATATAATAAATTATCTACTTGGAAAGTATTGTCTAAGGTCATCCAAAAAAAGGATACATTTTGCATTGATATCCGGGTCCTAATCATAATTAAAAATTATGACTGAAAATTGCTTTAAAATAAAATCAATTTCTCTACAGACTACATTTTCAATGAAATAAAATAAATTTAATAGGATTATACTTAATTTTTTTTAACTGGAAACATTTACTTATTTCATGTTTAAGATTCTAAAATGGCTTATATGATAAATTAATTGGCTATAAGACGGTATTAAATTAGGTAGAGCTGCACGCCCTTCAATAAACGTCCATTTTTATCTGTAAAAATACTCAAAACAAATATTTAAAACTCAGAATAAAAAACAGTAAAATGATACACGGTAAGAAATCAAACAATAATTCAGTTTAACATTGATAAGCAATCGCACTGCAATATTATGTCATATATATTGGGCATGTTTAGAATTACTGCCATGTCACGCCAACTATTGATGATAAAGATTTTCTCAATTTTTTTTTTTTCATCTATTTCTCAATTTTTATAAAATATAATATTTTTGCGTTCAAAAAATCCAAAATAAAAACATCAACGAAAAGTACTGTGTGCATTACATTTTACTGCAAACTTTTTTTTTCTTATTATATAAGAAAAAAAAAATCGCCCATTTTATATATTAGTACAATTATAACGTACAAGGGGCAACTACTAAATTAAAAAAAATAAATTAAATAATTGTAGGAGAAATCCCCTTCATAATTCTTAAAATTGTATTTTAGTTAAAAATAATGTAAACGAGTTTATTACATATGACGTACAAAATCTATACTGAATTGATTCAATAAACTCTACTAATAATTAGGTTACCCTCTAGTACAATACATTCAACGTCATTTTCCCCGTTAAATTCAGTTACAAATAATTTAATAAAAAGAGGTTTTCCATAGAGATAATTGGATGAATATAATATGGACATTTTTTTTTAATGTTTCTAAAAACATACTGTCTCCTATATGATAAATTAACTTCACCATACATACTGTATTGACTCGCTTTCCAATAAGTCACCTAAGTGGTTCTTAAAAAAAAGAAACTATTCATGAAGAAATATATATACGCTAATTTAATCAATTGAATCAACGAGGTAATTTTTTAATGAATAAATCATGTGTAATATATATATAGATTATAATTAACAGTTATACTTGTATTGTGTATATTTGAAAAAAGGACCATCAATGTTGTGTTTAACGTTTGATAAACTATACTGCGATTTACAATAAAAATACTATTTATTAGCGAAACCGTTTATTAGTTCCCAGCATGGCACCTCAAAATGTCCGAGCTGAAGCGAAAAGTAAAACGGAAATTTTAATAATGTGGGAACCACCTCCATCCGAAGCTTGTAACGGGATTTTGATTGGCTATCATGTCGGATACCTGCCAATTGATGACGTTGAAAATCATGAATTATCGACTGTAGCGCAAAGCCGTTACATTATGAAAACTATTAACATAAATTCACAATATGGCGAAGACGTTGTTATTAGTGGTCTAAAACCATATACGACCTATACAACTTTAGTACAAGCATTTAATAGTAAAGGACCGGGACCTTTTTCTAAACCTATTTTGGTGCAAACTGAAGAAGGAGGTAGATATTCTTTAATACTAAATAAATGTCGGTCAAATAATGACACCTAGATGGTTTGTGCTAATGCTCTGTATTTGATTAGTACCCACGATGTCACCGGAAAAACCAAAGTGTAGATCATTGACTTCACAGAGTATTCACGTATCATGGGATTTACCTCCACCGACGGGTCGCAATGGTAAAATACAGGGTTTTAAAGTATCATATCAGCCAGCCGAAGACTGGTTCGGTAAGTGTAGTTGAAATTTTATTCTTATTATTATTTATTTATATATTGTACACCATAATGATAATGTTTTTTAGAAAAAAATGAGTTTGAAACGAAAATTACTTCTATTCAATACACAACAATTCAAGCTTTAATGAAGTATACCAACTATAGCATATCAGTATTAGCATTTACGAGTAAGGGTGACGGAGTTCAAAGTGACCCTGTATACTGCAAAACTGAAGAAGACAGTAATATAATTTATCATATTCATTTGTTGCATACTAAAACTTATTGTCTTTTAGCTCCTTCGGTACCGGCGGATATTAAAGCAGTAATAAGTTCTATTAAGACTATAATCGTTTCTTGGCTCCCTCCACTCCGGCCAAATGGACAACTTACTGGATATATTCTATACATATCACTTTTGAGTGGACACAAAGATGTAAGTAATATTTTCTACACGTTTTTTAAAAAAAATCCTTTTTTTATAATTATTTTGCCAACTTATATGGTTTTCTAGTCAAAGCCAATTAAAAAAATACTCAGTCCATCCGTTGAAATTTTCGAAGCTTCCCGAATCATCGACAGTGCTAAATATCAGTTTTGGGTAAAAGCCTTAACTAAAGTCGGTGAAGGCGAAAGTACGAGAACAATAACGGTGCTTCCAACGATTAAGATTTCCGCTAGGATTGTATCGTTCAGTCAAGTATTGACTATACGATGGAAGAAAAACGTAACGTTAAGCTGTAAAAGGGTAGGTATACCCTATCCTCAACCAGTATGGACAAAAGGTGGACGATCAATCATCACAAGTGGGAGATATCAGGTTACATAGCACACATTTTGTTATGAATTATTATGATATCAATCTAAACGTACCTTATAATACTCGTGTTTAGATAAACAAAGACGGATCGTTGGTCATAAACGATATACAACATTCAGACAGAGGGAACTATACGTGTGCTGTGAAGAATAATCATGGAACAGATGAAATATCTTACGCTATCTATGTCAAAGGTATAATAAATGTACTACACAGGGGCGTACTCAAGGGGGGTTCGTGGGGTTTGAACCTCCCTCATGACCTTACTAACCTATGTAGTATTGTATGTCCGTGCTTATATATAATATAATTCACAAGAGCAATTTTCTAAAAAAAAATGTTTTGAGAAGCGAAAAAATAAGCAAAACTTTATTTTGTTCTCTGAATAAAAAATTTTCATTTTTGTAATTTATTTTTTGTATAGTACATTACCATGATCTTATTTAATATTTTTAAAAGAAGGAAACAAGTCCCAGTGATAAGAAACAAAATGTTCCCTCATTGAAAATTCCTGAGTACTCCTCTGGTACTACATTCAATTTATTTTTATTTATTCGTATGCAACTACAGTAAAATTGAATATTGTACGTTTATTAATATAATTATGTATTTATAAATATGAATAATTTAAATTATGAATTAGTACCACCATCACCGCCAAAATTATCAGTGAGCTTAGAAGAGACTGATAGTTTACATCTAAAATGGATAGATACAGTCGAACCGGACACTCCTATATCTGGTAAGTATCATAGACTTAACACTAAAAAAACAGGTTTTATAATATAATATCTGTTTTTTTAGTATTGAATTAAAATGATATTAAAAAATATATTATATTTTTTATAAATTAATGAAATTATACAGGTTACATAATAAACTATAAACGTGAACACGGAGATTGGGAAGAAATCCAAATCGATTCAAAAGTTCATTTTCATGTTCTTCAGAAATTACTTTGCGGCACAAGGTATCAGTTATATATAACTGCCTATAATAAAATCGGAACGGGTCTGCCATGTGATATTTTAACGTCTTACACTAAAGGCTCAGGTATCAATGATTTTTTTTTTTTGTTAATTATTATTTATCAAATCACACAGTACAATAATTATTTGATTGGAATTCACACGCGTTATAAACGCATAATGTATTTCCATAGCTCCTATACCTCCTGGATCTCCGTCAGAAGCAATTACATACAACAGCTCGACAGTAAGCGCCTGGTTTGACCTATGGGGAAATGGAGGATGTGATATACTATACTATACGGTTGAATGGAAACAGGCTAAATCGAACGAATGGATTTTAAGCGACGGTAAAACAGTAGTTCCTACTGAGCGTATGTACACTGTGGGAAACCTTGAACCGGCGACAAAATATCAGCTGAAAGTCACTGCTCACAATAATATTGGGTCGTCCTATGCACTGTATAACTTCACTACGCTCACTATCGACGGAGGTAATTAATAATATTTATTATTAGCGATTCAAAGTTTAAATGGATATACTGTATAATATAACAATATCTTTAATACCATTTGTTTGTCTATAGCAACTGTTATACCATTTGATATGTATACTGAAATAAAATCAGAAGAAACGTCAGTATTTACATCGATTACAACTGCAATTTCTTTGATAATAGCTTTAGTCGTTGTATCGTCGATTGCAGCATTTACATACTATTATAAAGTTATGAGTAAGTATTTTGAAACATTTTGCACCATCAATGGATCATTTGTTAAAATATGATTTTTTTTAGAACGTTCGGACGATGAGTCATTTAGAGATCAAAACCAAAGGTCCCGTGATCAGCGGTATTCGGTCAGAGGACAATCGCAGCAAACTTTAAGTTATGATTCTGTGACATTTAAAACAGATTCGACTGGTACGTTGTAGTGTTTCTCAACAACGAGGTATTAAATATTGTTTTTAATCATTTTAAAGAATATATGGATGAAATCTGTCCGTACGCAACATTTGAACTCGCCAAACAGCCACAAGGTGAAAGTACATTTAGTGGTAATGTTTATAGTGGCCCATATCATTCGGTTAGAGGATCATTTGTATATCATCAACCCAAAGCGTCGACTTCTGAGTCATATAACTTTGTTCAAGTATTGTTTAAAAAATGTTTAATACATCACTATGAAATATGAATTCATATTAAACATTTTTTTTTTAGAGAAAAGAACCGGAGTATACTAAAGTCCGTCAAAAAGGGAGAAAGCTTAGAGATCCTCATTCCGAAAGTCAAGGTACAGCTTCTGAAAGATTTATTTTTTAATCAATTTTATGTTTGAAATGTATATTATTGTTTGCCTTAATACATTCAAAATTATTTGATTAGGATTAAAGAATAAACAATAAAAAAAAAAAAAAATAAAAAATAAATAATTGGCCTGTTTCAGAATCAGATAACTTAGGTAGTACAGATTCTGAGGTAAAGCGGATTCTAACACTCCACCTACCTATTTCAGAGTATGATACTCATGGTAGTGACTCTGATCATGTCGAAGTGAGGCGAAATCAATCAGCTAGCCAAGAGCTTGTTTCATTCAGACATCGGATAAGCAGAGGTAAATTAGCAGTAAATTATTTTCGAATGTTGTTTTTATTATAATTTCCTATTAGAAGCGAGTACTGAAGATACTAGCTCTTCGTCGGAGACTTCTGTAGCAGAAGTTAGAAAAGCTCCTGCCATGCCTGCACTTCGGAAGCCAAAATCAAAAAGCCAAGTTTTTACGAAAAGACCACCGAAGAATAGCAGCGGTTGTTCAAGTCAAAACGATGATATTAATTTTAGGTATTGGATTTCAGTCACTTTAATGCATTTTAAGTATTAAACAATAGATTTCTTTGGTTTTAGCGAACGTTTAAATCCTCCGGCTAGATTTTCAGACTCTAGGCCAATGCGGCAGAATGAGGGGAATGAATTTGATCGTCGTCCAAAGATATCTTCTCATCAACGAAGATCGCCAAGAAGACTTACACAAGAGACTTCGTTTCAAATAGATGTCTAGTCAATTTAGTCATATACGCATAAGTTTAATTTATTTGTAATTGGCTGAAACGATTTTTAAAATTCCTACATTTTGTATTCATTATTTTTTGTAAAACACAAAATTAATATTTTTTACTTTAATTCCCAAAGCATTTTGTATCTCTAATTGAAAAATCTGAATTAATGTATGATATATTTAATCAATATTTTGATCAAAACATTTATTGATTACTTAAACTATTTATAATTCTATAAATAATTTTATAGTTTTAGAACAGTGTAATACCAACTTCCATATAAGCTGCTCAAAATCGTTTGAAGTCCAATACAAGTTTTTATTGTCTGAAACAAGTGTAAAAGTTATTGTTTGATTTCTCGTCTAACAAGTTCAAAACTACCATATAATTAACTAAATAATTTGATTAAGATATTTAAATTAATTTTATTAATCACTATAATAATCTTCAAAAAACTGATTTATATTAATATATTTAATTGATTTAATTAAAATTCGGCTTTATCATATTATTTTAAAAAAGTTGACCTATATATCACAGAAATCACTATTACCGAGTTTTATATCCAGCCGTTAAAATCGTGTAAGTCAATTATATATGATCTTTTTTTCATATTTAATAATTTTCTGTGAACAAAATAATGTCAAATAAATGTATGATGCTAAAGAGTTAATTTGGAGAAGAAGGTAATACTTACTTACTAATTTTCATTTTCGCTCAAACACTGCGTGCTTATAAATCATAGTGATGACAATTTTTTTTATTTAAATATTCTACTTGGATATTTCCAAAATATTATTGGAAATAATATGAAGATAGTATATAATAGAACAAATAAAACTCTATGGAAAAATTACAATAATAAAATAAATACTAGTATTTATAATAATACACAATTAGTATTGATAATCGATGTCAGTACCATTATGATTGTAAATTTTGCATAATCATAACGCACCTAGATAATCCGAAAAATAAGTATATTGTAAAATACATTAAAATATTTAATAACTTACGTTATTCTAAACTTATAATTTAATTTAAGTATTATTTATTTTTTATTTCGTAAGCCAAATCCAATATAATATCTCATAGTGAAAGGTAGGAAGATATTCTCTTTTTTATTTTTTTTAAAAATGTGTCATAATGTTAATAAATTTTAAGTCAACGCCCAAGCCACGTACAAGATTGAACGCATTCAAAATGTGTTAAATGTGTGTCATTAATGTGATTTACTAGTCACAAATTAGATTAAAAATCAATTGTTTGGTTATGCAATTATTACGAATATTTAAATTTACAATGTACTTATAATTTCATTTATTTATGTACTCGTACATATAAATGTATATATCTGATTGTGAAGTAGTTAAATGCATAGTTTATTTAAATATTGGTGGTCATGATGATAACTTAGAATAGTATATTTTTCCTTGGACAACTTTTTTTGGTGCATTTAAATGAATATATTTAGATAGATTATTTTTTTAGACTGATAAATTTTTATTATTTTCCTAAAATAAATGCACTCATCATCGAGTTTCGTATAAATTATTGAGTTTTAAAATTGCTGTGTTATTTTACAAAAATCTGACTGTCGGACTAAAAATCGTAAATATCTCAGCGCCATCTATCAACTGCTGTATTAAACGTTTGTTTCAATTATTATGTTTTGAACTTTTTAGATTATGTGCTAATCCAATCTTATGGATTATAATAGATGTTTAACGATAAGTCTATCGAATTAGTGTTGGCAACAAAGTGCTATTTTGACATAATTGTACAAATAATGAATAGACAACCCTTGTATGATATGACGAGCTATATATCACAAACAATTAGAAAACATGAAACTCAATATTTTGCAATACTATTAAATTACAATACTTAAGAAAATTCCTAATTAATTATTCCTGTATAATACAATGCAGGCACTGCATTATACTCATACAACCTGAGAAATACGATGCGTCACACTACAACGCATTATATTAACATCCATAATGCATGTATTGTTTAAATACTTATCATGTTATACCAACCAAAAAAAAAAAAAAAACATGATCTAATCTAAGAAATTATTAATAATAAAATAAATTAATTTACTACGTGGCATGCGTGATCAATTATTGATGTAGCATTAAACTGTTTTGATCCAAACGTATAAATATGATTTAAAACAAACAGTTATAAATGGTACATAAGTACTACTTAATATAATAATATAAATAAATTTAGGTTAAGAAATGAATCATACATGTACTTTTTAAGCTTAGTAGGTAAATTCCACTTTTATAATTTTCAGTTAAAATTATAATATTATTGATTACAAATTATTTATACCGTTATAATTTTTTTATTTTATAATAATGTTTGTATTGATAGAAAATTATTTATGTAGATGAAAATTATGACCTAATTGGTAATTTTTTTTTGTTATTATTATAACCTATTTTACTCTTTTGTTTTTGTAAAAAATAAATTCGTTATTGTATTGAAATATACATTTTCTAACAGAGAATATATTCTGTTATAGTTCTAACGCATATTTGATGTTTTTTAAGTTAAATCAAACTTCTACTGCCAATAACGTCAAATTATTGTTTAAGCATAAAGCTGATGAGTGTTACATGAATGGTACATACTGTTCAATTACTAAAACCTAAATCAAGTTACAATTGTTAATCATGCAACGATAGCAGTTTTAATATAACGTATTTTATGATGTCACAGTTTCAGTGCATATATACTTGGCCAACTATTGCATTATAAAGTTAAATTTAACATAAAAATCAGGAGCCATTGTAGTTTTAAATCACCTGTCTGATACTACTACCTAAGCGCCATAACACTTTAATCCGTTATAACAAATTTCAATTTACAAAAAAATTGTGTGTGTGAAGAAATGAAAACAAAAATGATTCCAATCAACCTTCGTTCTTGTTAACAGATCAATGTATACAATTTTGCTAATTAACTCGAAAGTTTTATTTCTATTTAACGATGATACAAGATCATCAAGTACATAATTGTTATTTTAAGAGAGAATGGAAATGTTTGATGAGATCGGAAGAATTTTGAAAGATTATCAATATATATCATTATCTTACTGTTTTTTTGTATTATTATAGGCGTTAAAAACATTTGCAGAGCATTCAATCTTCCATAAAATTCTTGAAAAATTTCAAAACCTGCTCCCTTACTTATAGGATCGTCCGCTGTTGAATTACTTTAATTCCAAAAGATAATTTAATTCTATAGAATAAATAAATTGAAATGATAAACACAAAGATAAACGATAATCGAAATTAAAACATAACTCTCTAGGTATAACATTTTTGTCACACCTGTACCGAAAATTTGGTTTTCGACCGCGGTCGAAGCATTGTGATGTCACATTTATTCTTCTAGTGGGCGGTAAGATGGGAATACCATTATGGCGGGCGGTAAAATGGGAATCCCTATAACACCGTGTAGTGAAGTGTATATTTCCAAGAGCGCTGGTCGCGTATTCTCAGCACAACCAGAAACTTAAATGTATACCATGGTCCGTACAAAACATAAACTTTCGGTTAAATCTTATACACATATCACAACCTCATTGCACGACGCATAAACATTTAAACCTATTTCGTTTTCACTGTTCTCACACAAGTGCGTTGGACGTTACGGATAAATATGTTTTGCGCAATTTATATAATAATTCGAATTATAAAATGAGATCGTTCGCACAAGTGTCACGTCGCTGTTTAAATTATCCCATTTCGTGTTAACCGGAGCGCCCGATAAGGTGTCGGCGTGTAATGTTTAAGAATTTTAGATCGGCGCGTCATCGTGGTACGGTTATCACTGGTTCGTGGATACCATTACTGCCAGGACTTTTTTCCGCCGTCACTTTCTCTGCGAACGTTCGACTCGTCGTTTTTCCCGTGCCACCAGCCGTGTGTTTTTGTGGTTGCGGCATAGCACGGTGGAGTCGCCATCTCTGGGGACAACTTCGTGTGTGTGACGGCTGTTAGAATCGTAGCTGACCCGTGTCCGCGAAATTTCTTTCGGTTATTGTCGTGCGCGGAAAAGCCAGTTATTGTAAATCGAGACCGATGCCGCTGATCAACCGATTCTTCTGCCGGTTGTGGCGTTCGTCGCACGTGTGAATACGGTCGCGTGGGCATAACCACTCGAACGCCAGACCGTCCTAGGTATGTTCCGTTATATTTGTTAAAAATATTATATTTATTTTTATACGATTTGTCTTGTTATATTATTACAACGCGTTTGGAGCATATGTGATTTTATTGTTATTTTTAGATTTATCATATTTATTATTACTTTTTTTGTAAATATTACTGTGGCGCTTTTGGCCCGTTTATCCCGGCATTTGTAATAATTTCATTAATTATCCTTGTTAAGTGTTATTTTTTATTGCAAACGACGCGAGTATGTCACTCAATCGAACCAGTGATGAAGTAGTGCGAAGCACGCAAACAAGCATTAATATGAAAGATGAAAATCAGTACAGTAGCTGTAGTAAACCATTAACTTCACTATACATGGTTAAAACGACAAATGCTAAAAAATCAAAAGAAGGATATATAATAGCTTATGAAAAACTTTTAAAATAGAGAAAAATAAAAAAAACCAAATCGTTGTAGAAAAATGTGTTTCTTACAAATTTTAACAAATTATCTACAGAAGTTAAACCATCAACTCTATTTTTTTATTATTTTTTTATCTATTTATTCAATGCTTAAAAGCATGAAAAATATGAAACATAATATTGACGTTGATACTTATTTAAAATTACAAGTTTTTTTTTTAAAGAGAAAATTGAGTGGATTAAAAGTAAAAATTCCAAAGTTTTGACTTCAACCGATATAAATAATTCATTGACGAAGCTCCTGATATTCATATTTAGTAAAAAAGTAAGTGAGATTAAATTGTTTTGTATATATTTTATGTTATTAATAGTCCAATATCCGCTTGCTTAAGTCATATAATGAAGTTACCAATTCTGATTTTAATTTTGATCCGTTGTATAAGTTAAAATTATGTATATTTAAATAACTGTATTACCTGTATGTTTGTTATTATATAATGATAAAATTAATATTAAACCACTGTACTTTTACCCCTTGCGGGTGTTAATTAATAAATAAAATAAAATAAAAAATATATTAGCTATTCATTCTGTTCATTTATTACGATATATGTAATATTCATTAGTGAAATATATATTATACATTAAACTTCTCTATTCAAAAACAAATTGTTCACGATCATTTACTATTAAAGGGCATTTATATGATATTTTTAAGAAATACATTGATTTATGACCCACAAATGTAACGTCAGAAGAATTTTTTTTTAGTTATAAAAACGATTAATGCATCAAACAGGTTATTGGAAAAAACAAAATTGGAAATATGCCTAAAGAAATTGCAATATATTTAAATTTACTGCATTCCCGAGCTATTAGAGGTCATTTTTTCCGCCGAACTTCAGCAACATTACTTACCGATCCCGCTGGTGATGTTATCTATATAATTATCTACTATAATAGACAAAACTGACTTAAAACTCAATACAACAAAACAAAACAATTCAAGTGAATAATTAGGTAATACATTATATAATTTGGTTACTTGAAAATATGAAAACACCTATTAAAAAAATTGAATTATAATAATTTAATTAATAACACAAATTGACAAGCCTAACTTTATATTCACTTAATTCAATTGTATGGAAATTGCGTTGTAGTACGCTGCATATTTCCAAAACTGGGCCATCGTTTAATTAAATCATTTTCAGTTCCTACTCCGTACATTAATTTTTTCCTCGATTATGACATCAATCGTACGTGCAGGGTCCGAAGACTCCTTCGTACTTTTGGAATAGGAATTGTGATGCAGCCATTAATATTGAACGCAGGAGTTAAGGTCCGCGCACACTGCCGCGGTGGTGATAGCGGTAGCGATAGCGGTGACGGTGGCGGTAAAATAGATCACATGTAAGCATGTTGGCGCGCATACTACAATGCTGTGGCGGTGGCGGTAAGAAAATCGCAGCTCGGTGAACACAAATAACGCGGTTGGACCTATTTTCACCACCACCGTGATGCGGTATTTTCTTAAAAATCCTAGATTCAACACTGCATATAGTATGACTAGTACGTAGTCATTTATATAATATAATGTATATATATTAATATGTACTATGAACCATAGTATATCCTCATGTAATTACTACATACTTCTATAGTACTACTGTACTCAGACAAGGTATCAAATATTGTTAATTTATAAAATGCATATATTAAATCATATTATATCATTTTATATCATTATACATAATGTATTTAAACTATAATTTATATAGACTAAAATATGTTGATTACATGTTACAATATTATATTTTTATTTTATAATCTAAATATTGTGTTTGTAATTTTACACAGTGGTATATTATAATAGACTATTTCTTCTAATTATTTGGTTTATTTAGGTGTAATCGTATTTATATCAAAATCATTAACTTATAATGCTCAGTCGATACTAAACATGAATCTTTATTATATACCGAACTGTTTACATAATTTTGTTTTTAAAGTTCTAAGAAACAATTCAGATAGTATTTGTAATATCAAATATGTGATAGGTTATAAGTTTATGACTTAGATAGTTTATTTTTTCCCGGGAGTTAAATTTTAGAGGAGACCGATCAACAATATTGTAAGCTGTTGTGTGTAAATTAATATACTACTTATACTCTATCTGCAGTTATCAATGTTCATTGAAAATAATATAAGTAAAGGACTACATAATATCTAAGTATATGTACATAAAATGTTTCAATTACAAATCGTAAAACTTAGTTTATATTATATTTAATAAATTATTCTAATTTTATAAATAATTAATTATTTAACTTAAATTATGTACGTTTATTTATTTCATAAATATTAATGAAAATCTTTGCAATACAGTGTACCCGTATGCATGGGCAGAGATACCTAACCGTCGCAGTCATCGCCACCGTTACCGCGGCAATGTGCGTGAACCTTTATAGTCTGTAACAAATGACAAAAATAAAATATATTTTAATATACTGCACACATCTAATTTATTTACTATGCATGTCAAATTATTATTTATAATAAATCATTTTTCAGATTTACTGTATTTCTCATCCATGCTAAAAGAATATTTTTGACGTTCTGGTTGTTACGTTCAATACTTCTCTGACATTAAGGTTTTCTTGGTGTTCCGTGTACAGCCAGTGTCAGTACTAGAGTTTGCGAGGCCCTAGGCAAAACAAATATTGGGTCTTATAATTTATATTAATAAAATATTTTAAGTTCAGTTAAATCAGAACCACGGGGCCTTAATTATAATTTAAGGCGCGGGGCCCTGGACAACTGCCCCTAATGCCCACCCCTCGCGTTGTCCCTGTATACAGCAATACATTCTGGCCAAAGTTTCTTGATTTTGTTAATTTCAGAATTTACAAAATCTCTATTGTTATAATTTTGTAAAACTTTCAGTGCAACAAAAGTTAGAAAAATTGTGAATAAATTAGATGCTGCTTCAACAATATTATAAATACGACAAGCAAAAATTATTATAAAACTATGATAGTTATAAAATATATTTTCACAAAATGAACTACTATATTGTGAAAAATTACACGATATCAAAATAGAGTGATTGCTTCATAAAAAAGTGACCATATCGTGAAATATTTTCGTATTTTACGAAATAGGTAACAAAAAAGCCGTTACTATTTCATGAAATGGTCAATTTCACTAAGTTGTTACGAAATATATATATATATATAAATATAAGTGAACCGATTATGGTTTATCACGCTTATCGATTAACATTAAAAATAAATCGCGTTTAAAAATATTTCCATGAACATCAAACCTTTATCAAACCTTTAAGTGGAAAAGAAATTATGACAAATTGATTTGTATAATACAATAATAATAATAATTTTCTAATTAACATTAATTGGTTTATTTAGTTTTTTTTAATTGTATAACAATATTTTATATAAATATATTATATGTAAATAAATTATTAATTGTAATGTAAATAAATATTCATTAGGATTTTAAGGAGTAAAAAAAATTTGATAATGAGTTGCATAGTACATAAAATTGTTGAATCGAAAAATTTTTCGCTAACGACCATACTACGTTGAATACATCTGTTCTCGTCCAATTACTACATAATAATAATAATTTTTAATTTTAAATGTACCAACCTACCTAATTTTTGTAATTGTAATAATAAAACTGAATTTTTATAAAAAATACATGTTTTTACTA